CTGAGTACAGAAAGAAAAAAAGGAAAAGAAAGCGAAATAGAAAAAGAAAAAAAGGAAAAGAAAAGTTAAAAAGAAAGCTTCCAATTTTCTCCACAGCAAATACAAGTATGATTAGAAAGTTATCTCTTTCTCTTGACAAAAAGAAAAGCTCACTTTTTTCTATTAAGTATTTTTTTTCTAATCATAAAAACCACAAGTCATAAGTGCACTTTTTTTCTGTACCATGCAAAAAGTGTAAAAGGGAAAATTAATCTAACATTCTGATTAATTTCAGTGATGAATGAAATCACATTCTTTGAATGTTTGTTCAGAAATTCTTCTTTGAGACCATTCATCCCCTATACTAGCAATGAAAATTAAAATGTCTTAGAGTATCCTGATATATAATGTAAGTCCAAATCTTGAATTATATCAAGATTATTAGTGTATCAATGAAACACTAACAAGCATTCATTTATTATTGTATTACTTAAAAAAAAATTAAAACATTAAAAAAAACACCTTTAAATGTTACATATGACAGGCCTCTGTACACATTCATTAGTCCCACATTGCAATAATATCTGCATACATACATTTTGCTGTTGAATTAAAATATGCTAAACTCTTCCTGGGATTTAGTTGTATTCCTTGAGAAAGTCATCATTATTTGAAAATGCTTTTAAAATTAAAAAAAAATGTTCTGCAATTCTGAATCTACCATAAAATATGAGTTACCCTCACTGAATTCAAAGCAATTTACTTCAGACTAGACATAACTATTAAGAATCAAAAGTATTTTAAAAAAAACAACCTGAAAATTCCTCTTTTTCTCAAGATCTGATTGCTAAAAATGAAGGATTCTTAGCTACATTTTACTAATGTTTCTTTTTTCCACTCCATGTTCTCTAGGTTTCAGCTTAGATGAGGAAAAAGTAAATGGAGGAATATTGAATGAAACTCACATCGAGGATGGAAAGAGAAATCAGCAATATTAGAAGAATGTGGGATTCAGCCAATAAAAAACTTCTCTTTCATTTCTGACATCAGCATTTCTACATTTTAAAGCCCCACAAACATGAACTGAATAGACAAAGAAACTTATTAACCTATTCATTTATACTGGGCATTCCTATAAACTTTAGAAAGACATACTATTAATTATACTCACAAAAAAGACAGAGCCCCAGCAAGTGTGTCATTACAAACGTAGCCATTATCATTCCACTTGCAAGCTGTCATCAGGTTTCTCCTGCTTTTAAGTTAGACATCTTCTGCTACTGCTTCAGGATGAACAGGTTTTGCATGACACTGAAGTTGCACATGAGTTCCCACTTCTTCGTTCCTTATTTGCATGTAAGATTGAAACAACACTCTAGTCTCATTTCAGTTAGAAAGAAACAAAGATGTCTTATATACTCCTGTATCACAAAGTATTCACCTATTCTATGTCTTATATTTCTAGGACTTTTGCCTTTAAAGACCACATTAGAATAATCTATATTAAAGATTTTCAGTTTTGTGCAACAGTCTTTAATACCTAGAGGACAACTCTAAATAAGGATTTTACTGGTTGTATGAGCCTGAAACAGATACCATGCAAAATATATCTAAATATCCAGAGCAGAGCCTGGAATGAGAAGGCACAATTTGCATTTGGAACAATATTTCATTTTATCATGCAAAATTGTCAATCTTAACACCTACTGCTTCTGTTAGGTGAAAACGTTTAGAAGTACTTTAGAAAAAAAATGGCTAAATTCCTGTCCTATCTTTTGTGCTCTGTGTCCAGTTTATTTATACAACCTATATGCCTCAACTTCTTAGAAAAGCTTTCTGTAAAGCACATTTTGAACAACTAGATTCTATGGTAAGAGATGGGAGATTCCATGGGGTTCATTTCAAGGACTGTATCTGTGGTACACCACCTATTAAAGACGCTGCACATATCCTGACTTATTACAAATTATGTTCTGCAAAAAGGACTGTTTACTTAGATCTTTGTTTAAAAACTAAAAAATATTGGGACACCGAGGAAAAATTACTTCTTGCAGGGAACAAACCTACATATCACTAGCAAGACTGCAGTTTTTATATCAAAGCCCATTTTGAAGAGGACAGATGACAAAGAACAGATTGGGGTTAACTGTAGGGGTGATGCTTTATTCTGAATATGTTGTACTGTTTTCTCTGTATTGGTTTTATAGTTTTTTTGATATGGACAGACAACTATTCAATAAACTTTCTTGCTATCTGTTTAGTTAGTACATTTTTCAATTGTATGTATTGGATGCTGTAGGTAAATCACATTCAGAATGAAATCTCTTAAAATATTTAAAACAACCATTATAAATCAACTGACTTAAATTATGTATTTCTTGCTTTGCCCAGGCATGCCAGTAGAACATCTTCCCCACCATCTCCAAGTTTGGGTTATTCCACAACATTAATTTCTTATATGATTCTGGATCAAAATATACTCATTTAGCTATAAAGAGCCAAATATATTTTTAGCAGCTTTCAAGATTGGAAATGAAGATCTCTATTTAACATATTTGGCCCCTAAAACTTGCTGGGATTTCAGAGGGATTAGAGTTGCTCTTCAAAAGAGCTCAAAAATGGCAATATTCAAAAATATTCTAATTCCAGAAAAAATATACTGTAGATGTTAAAATGAAACCCCAATGATACCATTGAAAATCTAAAAGATTAATGCTGCCTTAATCCTAAAGTTATCTCAATTTGGTCAAAAGTATACAAGGGGGTCTGGTCTGCCATAAAAATGTCCTCATTAATTTGTCTACCTATATAAAGTATCTGGTGGGAATTAATATTGTAATCCCTGTTAAAATATATGTTATCTCTATGTAGTATTAATTTTAATTTCATTAATCTTGCCCCAGAGATTTAATTGAAGTTGTATCTCCTGAAATTGCATGTATTTGTTTTGACATATTTAATTCAACATATTGTGATATATTTTAGGAAGGGTATAAACACAAGTATTTTCTGGAGTCTGTACAAATTGTAAATCCTACTTTCTTATAATATAGATATTGTAGATCCCAAAGCCAGCAAATTGCTTTTCCAATTGATAGTGTAACCAGAGTATAAACCAAAAGAAGAAGGAGGAGGAGGAGGAGGAGAAGAAGAAGAAGAAGAAGAAGTTGATTGATGTGAATGAAAAGATAGAAGAATATAGAAACTTACATGTAGATATTGGAGCTATTAATTCAGCAGGAGCCCTATTAAAAAATGTGTTGCTAAACATAAATGGGTTGATGAAAGAATACTGAGCAATTTAGTTGCAGAACATCCTCTTTAAAAAATGAAAACTCATAATACTCTATAAATGTCTTGGATGCAGACGACTGGCTTAGCCAGCTATCAGTGAATGCTAATTCACAAATTCATTATATTTGAAGTAAAAAGTGAATGTATTGAGAAATACAAAATACAAAAGCCACATTTCTATGTAACTATAACTTCAAGAATGGGAAGGATGAGAGAGAGAAAGTTTCCTTTGTGTCTTCAGAACAGCAACTCATTCCACTAATAATAGGCCAGGTGAGAAACAGATGTAGGAACAATTAGTGAAAACTCTCGCCCTCATCTGTCTTTCATCATTTGCCTAGGAATCAAAGCAACTCATAGAAACAAGGAGATGATGCAGTGTTCAATAGGAGAATAGATCTAAGAAACTTTTTGTTGTCCAAATCTGAAACTTTTCTGTACAGTACCTACTTTAAGGTAAGAAAAAAAAATAGTCCTCATAGTTATTTATTTATTCAATTTATATAGCCGCCCATCTCAGACCAGTGACTCTGCGCAGCTATATACATTGAATAAATATTTAGTGCAACACCATTTTAATTTTACACTTTTAAGGGACAAGATAATTGGTATCTTCAAAAAGATACAGCCTTCCATTAGTTTAAGAAAAGTAAGTAAGCATTTTTGGAATTTTAACAGTGTATATTTACTACTTTCACAAAATGGCTACTCTCGTGAGCAAGTCTAGATACAAAACATCCATTACCTAGAAAAATAACTAAATTGCCAGGATGCTCTTCCCAATCCAGTGGGACCTTTAAGTACTCAGATGTGGTCCTGTTGAGCATATGACACTGGAAGCTACTGTTTTGCTTGGCCATATAGTATTTTCTTATTTTATTTTATTTTATTTTATGTTAATGAATCTTTCAATAATCTAAGTGGAATATTTTCAGTAGAAGGTTGCATTTTCTGCAATTGCCTTCTAATTCAGTAGATTCCATTTAATGTTTATCTTCAAATACCACAAAACCTGGGTAAAAAAAATTACATGAAATTTGTTTATTTATAGCATTTGTGGGTTATTTATTACACACTTGATTTTTAAGTCACCCAACATATTCAGCATACAGGCTTTGGACAAAACACAGCTGCGGTATTTTTGCAAGATTTCTGCTTAACCTAAACCAGAAAGCTAAAGATCTTAAGTGAACTTAAGTTGTACAGAACTATTTTCACATGCCTTCATTATATGCAGCATTTCCTTTCTCACTGGTTTGCCAGCCAAGTGCATTTGCAAGATTTCTTAATGCGATAGATACTGAACCTCTTAAGAGCCTTTGAAAAGGGCACACACAGCATTTTTTTAAAAAAAATCAAATAAATATATATTCATTTAAGTAGTTAATGGAGACATTAGCAAATGGCATTTTAATGAATGAAACAGGAATGAGGCTTTCACTAACAAAAAAACAGAGAAAAGAAAAAGCATTTCTACTATATCTGTATCTTCAATCGTTTTATTCGGTGAGGGCAATGGAATGCCTACAGCTATGGGAACTGCACTTTTCCCAACAGGTTCTCCAATTATAGAGACACCTTGAAATAATTCTCATAGTTGTAGTTCCATTCTTTCTGGTTAACGCAGAACCAGTAGCGATGAGGAAAATGATATGCCTCCACTTTAGCCTTGCCACTCACTGTCACTACTCTTCCATGAAGTAACCTGGATTTACGTAGGGCATGAAGTTCAGTTTGCAAACCTCTTTTCCTTTTAAATCGAGGTTTGTAAGCTTACATTTTTCTCAAAGCCTAGTTTAAAGAAGTTTTCCAGCACCCTTCCAACTGTTATTAGGGTTAGGGTTGTAATGGGCATACTTACATCATTCATAAATGTTTGTCATCTTTGAGATCCAGCAAATCTTCCATGAGGGATAGTGACCAGTATTGATCCACTTCTGGAAGGTTTATCATGATAACAGTTATCTATACTTACATGTGAAGATTTACTATAATGTGGGATTAATTATGACTTGTTCTCAGATGCCAAACTCCTGGGACTCTGTCAAACCATGGTGCATAATTGTTCCATTGAATTCCATCATTAATTGGGTTAGAAATACCTTAATATGCTGAACCATATTCAATTCTGGTTTATTTAGCAGCATGCTATATTCTATATTTAGGGGACTGCCTCTCCCTGAGTGTATCTGCCCATTCCTCCAAATCAGATAGGTGGGCATGCTCCAGGTCACTTCCCTTAAATGTTCTCATTTCATGGGAACTCGGAGATATGCCTTCTCTGCAGCTGCCCCAACATTTAGAACAGCCTCCCTGCTGAAATTGGGAGGGATCCCCACCAGTAGCCTTCCAGAGAATGGTGAAGACTTGGCAGTTCACCCAGGCATTGGGCTAGGATGGAAGTGAGCCCAGTAGAATTGGTGGGATGCTGTGGTGCTATAATGGGACATATGATGTTGTTATGGAGTTTTGTGGGTTACATTATTTTGATTTTTTGGAATGTTGTTATGAGCTGCCTATGATTATCATCCACAAAATAGGCAGCCATATAACTTTTCTAAATCAATCAATTAATCCTGTTTGTGGAAAGTTACCACAGTCACTTATCCATTCTCTGATTCCACATACACCAGAAGGTTATTTGAAAAACCTGATGGTATTAAGGACACATATTTATTTTTTATTCTCTGTAGTTAGGACATTTGTGAAGACATGCAATCCCTTTCTTTGATAACGACTGATCTCTAATGACTCTAGTAATTTCCTTTTGTTTTAATTTCAAAGGCACCACCAATCCAAAACACAGAAACTACAGCGTATGAATCCATTGCTCCAGGATAAAGGAAATTTTATGATAAGAATTTCAAACACATCATGTAGAGATGCCAAAGCCTCAGAATAGATGGCAATTTATGGAATTCTATTATCCAGAAGTGCAGAAGAAAAATGAACAGATTTGGAAACCTTAGAGTTCAGAAAAGGAATGAAGAAAATAGCCCGTTGACTTTATTCATCCTTTTCTTCCTGTTAAATATGTCTGCATGTGCTGTGTGTATTCTTCCATCTTTTCTCCTTTAGT